CTGGTAGATACTCTGGTAGCAAAGTTTGATGAACCAGAAAATCCTATTCTCAGAACATCCCAGAGTAATCCAGCCAATGTGTGATCATGTACAACCTGCTCGAGAACTCAGGTACAGAAGAGGAGAGACCCTGCTTCAGAAGTCTGACAGGATGAGTATGTGGAGCTAGGTCTCATGCATAGTTCTGTGAGCAACCAGCTGTTTACTTTGGAAAAGTCACAGAGCTGTGAGGAACTCTGGCTTTTCCATTTGTAAACTGAAGCTAATAACACTGACCTAACGAGACAACTAGGCTGTCATCACAAAATGAACATGCTGTCAACCTGCATATTAAAGTCTAAATAGGTTTTTGCTTTTTAGGCACACTAATGGGATCAATTTTCCAGTAGGCAGTTATTAATGTTCATTAACTAGTTCACACCCATTTACCATCCACATTGCTTTCTAGTCAAAAGGTTCTTCCTGAAGCTGTGGCACATTTTCAAAAGTGTTAAAGCTGGAGTGCTGAAGAGATGGGGCCCAAACCAAATGATCATCTTGAGGAAAGCACAGATGAGAAAAAAATTAGAAATGGTTATAGTGTGTTAACAGTCCCCATGAAGGGGGTGAGTGAAGTCTGCTGAGCCAGGCTGGCTATATGTGCATAAATAGGGACACTCAGGCAAGTTTTCTTTGAGTCTTGGTCTACTCACTTATGAAATGTGAATGACGACAGCACCCAATGTGTCAGGAGTGATGTGACACAGCACCCTGCAGTACTAAGCAGGTCCTCAGCTCGCACTACTTACTATTACTATTGCCTCCACCAGGTACAAAGCAAACTGAGATCTTAGGTGGGTCCATTACAGTTGTCTTACAAGTTCTTTTTTAAGACAGAGTTCGGCTCTTTTCGCCCAGGTTGGAGTCTAGTAGCATGATCTTGGCTCACTGCAACCGCTGCCTCCCGGGTCAAGTAATTATCCTGCCTGAGCCTCGCAAGTAGCTGGGATTATAGGTACGTGCTACCAGGCCCAGCTAATTTTTTTGGTACTTTTAGTTGAGACAGGGTTTCACCATGTTGGACAGACTGGTCTTGAACTCCTGACCTCACGTGATCCACTCGCCTCAGCCTCCCAAAGTGCTGGGATTACAGGCGTCAGCCACCAGGCCTGGACATAAGTTCTTATTAATAAAGCATTTCTGCATAATCCTTCTATCCAGGTTTGATTAATTAACAAATTCACATTTTTTCTGAGTACCTTCTATGGGCCACACACTGAAACACAAATAATTTTCCTCATCCAACAAATTTCCGATCAGCAATCTTCTTGAATAGGACTTATTTCACACCAATTCTCACTCCTCCTTAACAATTTCGGACTAACTGCTTGTTATGCATTAGTCTCTCCAACATAAGGAAGGAGCTCAATGTATGGAAATGCAACTTTCTTGCTCATGAACTAAAGAATGTTGGCTACTGCATGTGACTGGGTGCTATTTTATACAGAAAAAATGTTTGCGAGATTTTAAGCTAAGTGTTGACAGTTACCTTACTATACATGTGACTAGAAGTCAACTCAGTAGTTTCACCCTTATCAGGGTAATCAGGGTAAAACTTTAACTCCCTAAGTCTGCTACCTGACAGGCACAGCAGGTGTTTAAGGAAATCTGCATTTAATTTAAACAGACATCTACCGGTGGAAATTTAGGGTTGGTTTGCTCAAATTAGTTAAGATTAAGAAGATCTTAAATTTGGCTGGGCATAGTGGCTCATGCCTGTAATCTCAGCACTTTGGGAGACCAAGGTGGGTGGATCAACGGAGGTTATGAGTTAGAGACCAGCCTGACTAACATGGTGAAACCCCAGCTCTACTGAAAATACAAAAATTAGGTGGGGACCTGTAATCCTAGCTACTTGGGAGGCTGAGGTAGGAGAATTGCTTTGAACCCAGGAGGCAGAGGTTGCAGTGAGCTGAGATCATACCACTGTATTCCAGCCTGGGTGACAGAGCAAAAATCCATAAGAAAAGAAAGAAAAGAGAAAAATAAATCTCAAATCCTCAAATCAATAACCTAACATCACACCCTGAAAAACTAGAAAAACAAGAGCCAACCAACCCCAAAGCTAACAGAAAAAAAGTAACATTCAAAATCAGAGCTGAACTAAATGAAATTGAGACATAAAACCATCCAAACATAAATGAAACCAGAAACCAGTTATTTGAAAAGAAATTGGTTTTTTAATGTCTACTAGCTAGACTAATTAAAAAAAGAGAAAAGATCCAAATAAATATAATCAGAAATGACAAAGGGGACATTACCACCAATCCTACAGAAAAATACAAATAACTATCAGAGAATATTATTAATATCTCTAGGCACATAAACTAGAAAATCTAGAAGATATGGATAAATTCCCGGACACATACACACTCCCAAGACTGAGCCAGGAAGACACTGAATCCCTGAACAGACCAAAAATGAGCTCTGAAATGGAATCAGTAATAAATAGCCCAGGACCAGATGGTGATGAGCTGACAGCACTCTTACTAAAACTATTCCAAAAAATTGAGGAAGAAGTCCTCTTCTCTAACTTACTCTATGAATCATTCTGAATCCCAAATCTGTCAGAAATATAACAAAAAAGAAACGTTAGGCCAATATCTCTGATGAACAGAGATACAAAATTCCTCAACAAAATACGGGCAAAAGAAATCGAGCAGCATCACAACAAAAAGGTAATCCACCACAAAGAAGTAGGCTTTATCCCTGGGATGAAAGGTTGTTTCTACATATGTAATCAATAAATGTGATTCACCACATAAACAGAACTAAAAACAAAACTACAGGATCATCTCAACAGATGCAAAAAAAAAAAAAAAGCTTCCAATAAAATTCAACTTCATGTTAAAAAAACTCAAAAAACTAGGTAATGAAGGAACAGACCTCAAAATAGTAAAAGCCATCTATGACAAACCCATGGCCAACATTATACTGAATGAATGCGCAAAGGCTGGAAGCATTCCCCTGAAGAGCTAAAACAAGACAAGCATTTCTCTACACCAGCAACATCCAAGCCGAATGCCAAATCAAGAATGCAATCCCCTTTAAAACAGCCACACATGAAAAATACCCAGGAATACAGCTAACCGGGGAGGTGAAAGATCTCTACAACAAGAATTACAAAACACTGCTGAAAGAAATCAGAGACGACACAAACAAATGGAAAAACATTTCATGATAATGGATAGAAAGAATTGATCCTGTTGTAATGGTCATCCTACCCAAAGTGAGCTACAGATTCAATGCTGTGCCTATCAAACTACCAATGACATACTTTAGAGAATTAGATAAAGCTGCACACCTAAAACCATCTGATCTTTGACAATGTTCGCAAAAACAAGCAATGGGGAAAAGAGTCCCTATTCAATAAATGGTGCTGGGACAACTGGCTAGCCATATGCAGAAGAATAAAACTGGATCCCTTCCTCACTGTATACCAAAATCAACTCAAGATGGATTAAAGACTTAAATGTAAAACCTAAAACTATAAAAATCCTCAAAGAAAACCTAGGAAATACCATTCTAGACATAGGCCCTTCCAAAGATTTCATGATGAAGACACCAAAAGCAACTGGCACAAACAAAAAATTACAAATGGGACCTAATTAAACTAAATAGTTTAATTAAACTAGTTTTTCTTTACAGCAAAAGGAACTATCAACAGAATAAACAGACAACCCACAGAATGGGAGAAAGTACTTGCAAGCTATGCATCTGACAAAGGTCTAATATCCAATATCTATAAGGACCTTAAAACAAATTAACAAACAAAACCAAACAACCTCATTAAAAAGTAGGCAAAGGACATGAACAGTTTTCAAAAGAAGATATACACATGGCCAAAAAGCATATAAAAAATGCTCAACATCACTAATCATTAGACGAAAGCAAATCAAAAGCACAATGAAATACCATCTCACACCACTCAGAATATCTATTATTAAAATGTCAAAAAGGTAACAGATAAAAGGTTGTGGAGACAAGGGAACACTTAGACCCTGCTGGTGGGAATATAAATTACTTTAGTCACTGTGGAAGCAGTTTGGCGATGTCTCAGAACTTAAAATAGAAGTGGCATTTGGCCTAGCAATCCCATTACTGGGCACACACCCAAAGAAATACAAATCTTTCTACCATAAAGACACATGCATACTATGTTCACCACAGCACTGTTCACAATAACAAGGTCATGGAGTCAATATAAATACCCATCAATGGTAGACTGGATAAAGAAAATGCTGTATGAATATACTATGGAATACTATGTAGCCACAAAAAGAATGACATCATTTCCTGTGAGCAACATGGATGGAGCTAGAGGTGATTATCATTAACTGAACTAATGCAGAAACAGAAAACCAACACCACATGTTCTCACTTATAAGTGGGAGCTAAACACTGAGTACACATGGACACAACGAAAGGAACAACAGACTCTGGGGCCTACTTGAAGGCAGAGGGTGGGAGGAGGGCAAGGATCAAAACACTCCCTATCAGGTACTATGCTTATTACCTGGGTGCCAAATGATCTGTATACCAAACCCCTGCAACATGCAATTTACCTATATAACAAATCTGTACATGTACCCCAGAGCTAAAATAAGTTTAAAAAAAGGCCTTTATCAATAATAGTATAGAACATTACTATTTCTTCTATATCATTACTATATACTTTTGTATCTGAATAAAAATTCTAGGCTGTACCATCATAGATTTTCATAATCTTAGTTAAAATGTTAACTTTATTTATAGAATATTCTGTTCCCTATTACAAATATTAGTAAACTTGGATATCTTATGACAAACATTGATGGTTCACACATAGGTGAACTGGCAATCAAATCCTGGTGAAAACTCAGGCTTACCGGACCCTGAAGACTTCCATCCTCCCTGTCAATGCTGCCTCGAGAGAGTCTCACATCAGGTTTCTGAAGAAATTAAAACAAAATCAAAACAATTTCATTTTTGATTTGAAAATTATTGACAGATTCTATATTAAATTCCTTCCTTTTTAACACAGTTGTCCTCTGAATAAGAAGAGCTGAAAGTTTCCCAGTTTCAAAAATGTCCAGTGATGATGAACAAAGGCTAGCTGCCTTGGGAAGAACCCCATTCCTCTCCAAACACACATACACCTTACAGACTGGCACCTGTACCCGGTCCCACCCAGTGCTGGAGAACCTGCAGTCCACTTCTATTCCAAGTAGCACAGCAGGCTTTCTTCTTCACTGAGACCCTCAATCCCAGGATAAAAATATAAGGCATTACTTTCTGCTTCCTGACAGAATACGGCTTATACGGATTTGGCTGTCTTGCCAAAGCAGCAAATGAATTCAATGACGAGACTGTTTTCCCACACTGCATCTAGAATATAGAAACCAAGCAGAGAAATCTAGAGTTTATGTAAATAATGGCACAGAAATATCAGAAAAAACAAAGTAGGATGTAAGTCTTTATGGTGAAGTAGCAGGGCAGCAAGGCTTTTCCTCATGAAAACAACCCCGTGCTCTTGCAGTATGGGTTCTGTGGAGCCTTCAGCCACAGTGGCTCCTGCCTTCCCTTGGCCCAGGAACACTGGCCACATATTTCTGCCTGCAAAACTTCTTTCACTCTTCAAGGCTCAGCCACACACCGTTTCTTGGGAGCATGTTTCCCTCTTCAAGCAGAGCTGGTTGCTTCTTAGCCTGTGCCTTACAGATATCTCTATGTTGGCAGATACCACGCAGTAATTAGTTCCCTCATTAGAGATGGAGCATCTTGATGCCTGATTAGTCTTCGTAGCTCCTATTTCCCACATCTGAGCCTGCCCCTGAGAACAACATCTGCAATCAATTGCTGGGCAGGGGATGGAGAAATGAGCTTCACCTCTCCCTTCTTTCCCAAGTCCAGTGCTGTAGCCCAAACCCTCTTCATTGTACCAGTTCCTACTAGTCTTTTTGCCTTCTGTCTTAACTGTCTCTAATCAAAGCCTGGGGTCAGTTGTCGGTGCCAAGGTGTAGTGGGAAGTTGGTAAAGGACACAGCCACAATTAAGGTAAGAGTGATCCTCTGATGGCACAGAGGTGAACTTTCCAGGACAGGGGCCCTGCATGGTCCTGTGCCTACTTCCTCCCTTCCCCATTTCCTTCCCTTCCAGGCACAGTGCCTGGAGGTAGTGAATGCTGAGGTCTGAGAACAGGTCCTACCAGGAAGTGGGTGAAGGAGCTCCTGATGGCTAATCACTAAAAGGGGGCTATGGCTGACTGTTGCTAACAGTCTGCAGGGTTTCCATATGGGAAAAGGTGAAACTTGTGTGTTGTCCCTGAATTTAGGGCAGATTTTGGATCACTTATGGAAGAACATTCTAATAATCAGAGGCATCCTGAAAGAAAATAGATAGCCCTGATAGCAGGGAGTAAGCAAAGAGGGCAAAAGTCACAGCTTTCTTGTTATCTGATGATTCAACAGAATTACAAAATAGCTCATGTATATCAGCCCCATAACCTTAGTCACTGGCTGGAGCACATCGATGTTGACTGAATTAACTTTCAAGCTACTACATTAAAAAAAAAAGTTCCCTTTAATGTAAAAATATTCATTTAAGGCTGGGTGCAGTGGCTCACGCTTGTAATCCCAGCACTCTGGGAGGCTGAGGTGGGTGGATCACGTGGTCAGGAGATCAAGACCATCCTGGCTAACACGGTGAAACACTGTCTCTACTAAAAATACAAAAAGCTTGCTGGGTGTAGTGGCATGCGCCTGTAGTCCCAGCTACTCGGGAGGCAGAGGTTGCAGTGAGCTGAGATTGTGCCACTGCACTCCAGCCTGGGTGACAGAGTGAAATTCTGTCTCAAGAAAAAAAAAATTTTAAAAATTAAAAACAATAGCTAAATATAGGGTGGAAAATGACCTAAATCCTCAAATGCAGTGCTGGGTGTGATGGTGTGTGCCTGTAATTTTAGCTGTTAGGGAGGCTGAGGTGGGAGGACCCCTTGAGGCCAGGATATCAAGACCAGTCTGGGCAACATAGTGAGAACTCATATCTACAAAGAAAAAAATCTTAAAAATTAGCTGGACACAATGGTGTGTGCCTGAGTCCCAGCTACTGGAGAAGCTGAGGTGGGAGAATGGCTTGAGCCCCAGAGTTGAGGCTGTAGTGAGCTATCATTGTGCCACTGCACTCCAGCCTGGGTGAATGACCGAGACTCCGCTATGTTAGAACTCTATCAATCAATAAAACAGAAAAGTTCAGAATAAATATTTCTGAACTCTGAAGAGCATAACTTAAAACACTGTACTGTGTTTATATACACTATAATACCAAGGAACGATAATTTAAAAAATGAATTCTTTCTGCCGATGTGATATATATATAACTAGTCCCCATAAAGGAGAAGTTAAACCCAGAGACATGCAATTGGCGACTGGGACAGAAAGTATGCTGTGTTTTTTACCAGAGAGAACTATCCCATTACATGTGGACAGTTGTGGCTGGGTGTGAAATACAGCTCAAGAGGAAATTCAGAGGGAGGTAGTCCCTGACTTCTAGGATAGAATCTTCTCTGACAGGTAAGATAGACATGAATAGGCAGAACGGAAACCAGGCAAACACATGTGATACTTCAACCATTGATTCCAACTGACAACTGAGGGAGAACTCACTGGGGTGGTCCTATTCCAACGAGTAGAACTCACAGATCCTATTCCCTTGAATGCTGGGGTTCTGCCACTGCCTGAATGAAGAGGCAGCTTTGTGGGTCCCTAACATCCCAGATATACTTAAGAAAAATATTCCAAAACACAATGAACTTTGAGAAAATGTACTTGAGAGAACTTCAGATTGACAATTCACAGAACATTACTTAACATAAGTATCAAGGTCAGGAAAGATTTTGGGAAGACCAAGGAACTGTTCAAGCTTAAAGGAAACTCAAGACATGTGATAACTAAATACAACCCAAGATCCAGGACTTTTTTCTAGAAACGACATTCTGTGGACAACTGGTAAAACAAAGTCTGTTGATTAGCAAACAGTATCATATAATTGTTAATTTCCTGACATTGATAACTCGGCTGTGGTTATATAAGAGAACATCCTTACTTTTAGGAAATTCACAATGAACTATTTAAAAGTAAAAAGCAGGATATCTGGTATTCACTTCCAAATAGTTCAAAAAAATGGTATGTACAAATAGGAAAAGCAAAGGAGGTCAAATGTTAACAACTGGGGACTCCAGGTGAAGGGAATGTGGGACTTCTTTGTACTATTCTTGCAACTCTTAAAAAGCCTGAAACTATCCTTTCCCCCTCTGCCTATTCACTTGAGGAACAGCTGGGAGCTAGGTCTGCTTAGGTGTCCTGTTGAAGGGCTCTAAACAGAGGGTGGGTGGAGGTGACCATGTTTGACTCTACTGAAGAAGGAAGGACAACAGTCTTTTATTATTTTTAAGAGACAGGGTCTTGATCTGCTGCTTAGGTCAGACTGCAGCGGCTATTCACAGGCACAATCATAGTGCATTACAGCCTCGAATTCCTGGCCTCAAGCAATCCTCCACCTCAGTTTCTAGAGTAGCCGGGATTACAGATGCATACCACCACGCCCAGTTAGAGCTACAGTCTAAGAAAACAAAAGACCCAGCGGGCCCAACTTACGACATGGTCATTTAATAGTTATATGATTTTGGTTATTTTAAAATATTGTATATATCCTTGGTAGTCAATAATCTAACAAAAGAAACATGCACTTACTGTAGAAAAATTAAGATACTACAAAAAACAGATGAAAAAACTACAAATCACTCGACCTTACCCTTTGGAAGTAATTATCATTAGCTAATATTATGGCATAATGAACATGTAAAAGTAATTATTAGTTAATACTGTGATGTAAATGTATATTTACAAACATGGACCCACATCATATGATTCTGCAGCCTTCCTGTAATATTTATACAGAGGAAACTGACAAAACAATGCTTAAGGCTGCACAATATTCCACTGCATGAATATCATCACAAAATAGACAAAGGTAGAGAAGGGTGTGGGCTGTGGCACCAGGTGGCCTGGGTTCAAATCAGGCTCCAGACCTTACAAGCTGTGTGACCTGGGCCTCAATTGTTTCATCTCTAAAACGGAACAGTAACTGTAAAATATTTGCAAAGTACTAGGTTGGTGCCATATAAACGTTAAAATAAATAGTTCTTTTACTATTGGACATTTGGGTCATTTTCAAAATCCTTTATAAATAGGTTGTAGATGAATACCTTTATATACAAATCTTGAACTAAGTCCCTGATTATTTCCCTGGGACAGATTTCTTTTCTTTTTCTTTTAGAGACAGGGCTGTGACTATGTTATTCAGGCTGGTCTTAAACTCCTGTGCTCAAGTGACCTTGCTGTCTCCACAACTATCCCTAGCCTGGAGCAGATTTCTAAGAAAGAAATTACTAAGTCAAAGGGTTGGAACACTTGAAAAATCTTGCTAAAAGTTTCCAAATTGCTCAAGGCTGTCCTGATTTCCATCTATGTCAGTAATATGTGATACTGACTATTTCTGTATCTGTATTATCATTTTAAAACTCTCAACTGGCTCATGCCTGTAATCCCTGCATTTTGGGAGGCCAAGTTGGGTGGATCACCTGAGCTCGGGAGGTTGAGACCACCCTGACAAAGATGGAGAAACCCCGTCTCTACTAAAAGTACAAAAATTCAGCCAGGCATAATGGTGCATGCCTGTAATCCCAGCTACTTGGGAGGCTGAGGCAGGAGAATTGTTTGAACCCAGGAGGTGCAGATTGCAGTGAGCTGACATCATGCCACTGCACTCCAGCCTGGGCAACAGGAGCGAAACTCCATCTCAAAACAAAACAAAAAAACTCTCAATCAATTCATAAAGAAAATACTGTATAATATATTGTTGTGATTTGCTTCTCCTTCCTTTCCCCAAATAGTTGAACATTTCTATTTCTTATCACGAGATGCTAAGTTCCGTGAAGACATATGAAGCTGTCTGCTTCACTGCTGCATCTGTTATCTGGTAGAACACCGGACAAACAGGTGGAGGAAATCAATGACCTGTGCACTTTTCTAGTGAATTGATGGTCCATGCCCCTTTGGACAAGGCATAGCCTCTCTGGGCCTAGTTCCTCACCTGTAAAATAGGTAGAATAATACCCACCTCAGTCAGTCATTATCAGAATTAAAGAAGTACCTGGCAGCATTGTGCACAGATGTGTAGGAAATATCTGCTGAAGGAATGCTTCGATTAATATCCAAGGTACAAGAGATATGTTATAGATGAGGAACCTGAAGTTTAGAAAGATTTAGTTGCTTGGGACAACAAAGCTCTTAACAGTGGAGGTGGGCTTCAATCAGTCAACAGATAATAAGTACCTTCTATGGGCAGGAAATATTTACTGTTTCACTTAAACAAAAAATGTAACTCATTTATATTTTTGACTATAGAGTAAGGTATCGTGTTTCATGCATTTACACGAATTCATCTATTTTTATTTTCATATGAATTTCATGATATGACTTTTTAATGCATAATTCTCTAATGTGGTATTTTCCCAAAGACAGGATTTTAATTTTAAAGTGAGAAAGGCTTAGCCATATAAAATCTACTTGTGTTCTGTGAATGAAATAAATGCTTGAGCTTTTCTTTTTTCATACAGCATACACAGACCTCCTGAATGAAAGATGAGTGCCAACTGGGAATTGAAGAGCTATGCAGCCAAAGACAGCCAATCAGAAAGAACAGATTCTCGGTTGGGCACAGTGGCTCATGCCTGTAATCCCAGCACTTTGGGAAGCCGAGGTGGGGGGGATCACCTGAGGTCAGGAGTTTGAGACCAGTCTGACCAACATGGTGAAATCTCTACTAAAAATACAAGTTAGCTGGGCATGGTAGTACGTGCCTGTAGTCCCAGCTACTAGAGAGGCTGAGGCAGGAGAATCACTTGAACCCAGGAGGCGGAGGTTGCAGTGAGCCGAGACGATGCCACTGCACTTCAGCCTGGGTGACAGAGTAAGACCCTGTCTTAAAAAAAAAGAAAAAAGGAATAGATTCTCCTCTTGTTGCTGCTACAGAATGAAGTAAAATCCTCTTGTTGCCCCCTTCCAGAATATTCTAGATCTAAAGACAGTGTATCAAAGATAAAATTGGCTAGGTACAGTGGCTCATATTTGTAATCCAGTACTATGGGAGACCAAGGTGGGAGGATTGCGTGGCCCCAAGAATTTGAGACGCAAAAGCAGCATAGCGGGACCTTGTCTCTACTAAAATAATAAATAAAAATAAAAATTGGCTGGGTGTAGTGGCCTGCCATAGTCCCAGCTACTCAGGAGGCTGAGGTTGGTAGATGGTTGCTGTGAGCTATGATTGTGTCACTGCACGTGAGCCTGGGTGACGGTGAGGCCCAGTCTCAACCACCACCACCACCACCACCACCGAAGATAAAATTATGCAACTTTTATTTAAAATCTTATATAAATGGATCACAGAAATAAAGAATGTTTGGGGAACTTTGACTATTTTCCCCACCGGTATGCAGTTTCTTTTTTTAAAAAAGTAATTATAACTAATGTACAATAAAGTACACAAATCCTAAGTGTAAAGTTCAACGTATTTTTATTTATGTGCACACCCACATAGCACAGCACTCAGATCAAGACACCTCAGCAGGCAACCCCGCATACCCTGCCCAGCTGAGACCTGCCCCAGACTCCCCAAAGGGACCACTGCTCTGACTTCCAGCCCCATGGACTACTCCTGCCTGTTTCTGAGTTTCATATAAAAGGACTGCAGAATATGAACTCTTCTGTGTCTGACATCTTTTGTGAACATTTTGTCAGTAAGATCCATTCCTCTGATTGTATGTGGCAGGAATCTGTCCTTTTTTATTGTTGTATAGTATTTCATTGACTGAATATTTATCCATTCTGATATTAACGGGCAAGTAGGTAGGTTATTTCCAGTTCCTGGATACCACAAATAAATGTTGTTAGGAACACTCTTTTATGTATGGGCACATGCTCGTAATTCTTTTACGTATTACCAGAAGAGGAACTGTTGGGTTGCAGGTAAAAGGGACATTCTCACCAGGAGCAGATGAGAGTTTTGGTTACCTCACAGCCAGTGAAGACCTTGTTCTAGGTTGTGGGGACACATCAATAAATAGTTCAGCCTCATGTTGATATGGCTCTAGAAAACTTCAAATTTAAAACTTATAGCTCAGTCTTTTCTCCTTTCATTATACTGTGTTGCTTTCAAATGTGGAATCTGGTATGAGGGAGAAACCAGAGAGCTGTGACCTTGCTGCGTAGCAGGAGGAGGACAGTAGTCTGGCTTCAGACAAGACAGCTTCTCACCACTTATCGCTAGCTCCCTATCTCAGCATTGGGTGTTCACTGAGACTGACTGGATCTGCTGTGTGAGGGAAAAATGCTCACATATTTCTTTCTCAAACACAAAGTAGGCTTTATATACGTAGGGCTTTCTCATTTAAAATTAAAATTCTGTTTTTAGCAGAGTACCACACATTAGGAAATTGTGCACACAGTAATACAAAGCGAATTGCAAAGTTACTCTATGTTTAAGCAATACCCAATAGGAAAGAAAGCCCTTTCAACCACTGAGGTTCTAACTAAGGCTGCCAGCACTCTCCGGCACTTGCTTTGTAAGACAGCTTTCATAGGGTATATTTGTAGGCACAGAACTGTCAGAAAGGACAGTATCTGACCCGGAAACAAGAGAAGGGAGAATGAGGCCAGGTGTGGTGGCTGACGCCTGTAATCTCAACATTTTGTGAAGTTGAGGTGGGAGAATGACTTGAGCCCAGGAGCTTGAGACCAGCCTGAACAACACAGTGAGACCCTATCTCTATAAAAAAATAAGAAAATGAGGCAGGCTTGGTGGCATATGCCTGTAGTCGCAGCTACTCTGGAGGGAGGCTGAAGCAGGAGAATGGCTTGAGCCCAGGAGGTTGAGGAGGCAGTGAACTAGGACTGTGGCACTGTACTCCAGCCAGGGTACAGAGCTGACCTTACTGAATTCAATGGCAGGACCAGAGCAGTAGGCCTGGGTAGGCCTGGGAATGAACCAGTTTATGAAGATAAAAACAGAAGATAAGCATCTTTAGACATTTTTACAGCAATTTGAAACCATAATTTTTGGACTGTCAAAAAAGTTTGACTTATATTTTTATGTCTTTTTCTAGTCAATTACTTTAAGTTTTATAAGAATACTGGTCTCCGACGTTTAAAAACTGCATAGCCCTTCCATGCAGTTTGAGAAGCCCTGTACTGGAAAGCTCCTCGGCATAAGAGGACAGATAGACTTCTGACACACAGCTTCAACAATGAACTGATTGACCTAAAAGTAGATGCCTCAGCCTGGCCTGGTAGCTGCAAGGACAAACCGATAGCTTTGGGCCTAGCTCATGTCAGAGGGCAAGACACAGAAACAAGCTTGTAAATAGCAGACACCATGGAAACCCAACAGTAATCTTTATATATATGCAGCATAAAAAAGACCACGAGATATAATTATCACTGTTAGAGTCTCTTCACCAAATGAAGGACCGTAAAGCATGTCTGTGCATATCCAGAGACCTACCTACAACCATCACCACTCAACAGTGTCACGAGAGCTTCTACATCAAACACACACTACCTTCCAACTGACAGATGGTCAGGGTGGTTCTCCTGCTACATCTGCAACAGGTGTTATTTTCAGTGTGCCAAGCTTTCCACGTAGATGTCTAAACATCTGAATCTCCAGCCTAGACCACCTCCTCTGGGCTCTATGCCCTATAACAGCTGCCTCCTCTGTATTCCCATGTTCACATCTGAAACGTCCAAACCCGGCATGATCATGTTTCCCTGACATAACTCCTCATTCTGAATTTTGTTTCATTTGGTGGCACAATGTTACTTTTGGTGACACCAATGCTATAATTCCTGTCCTGGATTCTTCCTTCCTCTTGACCTCCTATACCAATTCACCAAATCTTATGTTTTAAGTCTGTCTTCTCTGCTCCCCCCTACTTTGCTTCTTCTAGCTCAGACCCTGCTGTCACGTATTTGAATGACCACTCAACTTCCTAACAGATCTCTGCATTTCCTATCTTGCCCTCTGAGCCATCAGGCAGCAATTCAAGGCCAAGGTGATCTTTCTTTCTTTCTTTTTTTTTTTTTCGGAGTCTCACTCTGTTACCCAGGCTAGAGTGCAGTGACACAATCTCAGGTCACTGCAACCTCTGCCTCTTGGGTTCAAGCAATTCTCCTGTTGCAGTCTCCTGAGTAGCTGGGATTACAGGCGTGAGCCACTGCAATTGGCCTAATGTGATCTTTCTAAGATGCCATCTGCTTCAAATCTTGAAAAGCACTGCCAGGCCTAAGATCAGAAAGTGGGTTTGGTACCAGATGTCTCAAAATCAATCGGGGTGCTTGTTATCACTCTAGGTCCTTGGCCTCTCCAGAGCTACTGCAGTTCTCTAGTTCTGGGTAACTGAGTTTTAAAAGGTCCCCTGTGACTTTTATGTACACTAATTTTTAATTTATTCATTTATAGAATAATTAAAATACCGACTTCGCCTGGGTTTGTGCATTACTTGTTTTTATTTTACATTCAACAAACATTTAGATGTTTAACACATTGTACGGTGGTACGTTCACTGGCTCAATAAATATTGGCTGGGCCTTATTACTGTTGAATGAAGGGTACTATGGGAGCTGGGGGAGAGTGCTGAATGGATACAGTTCCCATCTTTGTGATACTTACACTTTAGTGTAGAAGACAAGAAAACAAGTGAGACATTGTCATACAGTGAGAAACATTAGGAGAAAAATGAAGCAGGACAAAAACAGTTAAGTCATAGCTGCTGCACTTAAGGAACTTTTATTAGAGAAAGAGGGTAAGGGTGAGCATGCGTGAGAGTACAAGAGACTGGGAAAGAGAATGCAGGAGTACACACCATAATAAAATAAGTTCACTCAAGCTTCATGCTTGGCACTCAGTAAATTTCTCTGGCACCTTGTGGGTAGAGGCCAGGGATATTGCTAAGAACCCCTACTATTCACAGGACAGTTTTCTACAACAAAGAATTACCCAGCGCCAAACATAAACAATGCCCAGGGTGAGAAACCCAGTTATAGGGAATGTAACCTCCTTGAGGTGACTCGAAAATAATTTTTAAAGATGAAAAGGTGTTCCTCAAGCAGATTCCAGGGAATTGGAAAGGAAGAGGCTGAGCATTCCAGTCAGACATAGCAGCATTAGAAAAGGCATAAGTTAAACAGTCATTTACAAAAAGACAAAAATAAACTCATTAAAAAAAAAAAAGAAACATTCATTCAATCAATCAACACTGAGAGCTTTCCATATGTGAGGCACTGCCAACTGAATGGCGAATAGGAAAGACATGGTCCATGGTTCCTGCGTGCATGGGGTGCTCAGTCTAGCAAAAGAAAAAGAAAAAAATAGAATACCATCTTATGAGCATTAAGATAGGTACTTATTCCAGCCTGGTCAACATGGTGAAGCCCCATCTCTACCGAAAACACAAAAATTAGCTGGGCGTGGTGGTGTGGACTGTAGTCCCAGCTACTGGGGAGGCTGAGGTGAGAAGACAGATTGAGCCCTGGAGGTCAAGGCTGCAGTGAGCCATGATCACCCCACTGCAGTCTATGCTGAGTGACAGCAGGAGATCCTGTTCCAAAAAAAGAAAGGTACTTGTGTGGGAAATTGCCTAGACACCACCATGGCCTCCAAGTTTAGCAGCAGGCAGGCTATCCCAGAGGTTACCCAACAGTCAGGTTTAGGACCAAGTGAAGATGCTCCAATTACACGGTTATTAAGTAAAAAAAAAAAAAAACACATTGTGGGAAGTATTTTCCATTTCCCCACAAACATGCTCTGCTTTGGTCACATGTAGCTACAGGAAGTTCTTAGAATACAGTCTTTTGAGAGGGAGTCTCGCTTTGTCACCCAGGCTGGAGTGCAGTGGCATGATCTTGGCTTACTGTAATCTCTGCCTGCAGGGTTCAAGTGATTCTCCTGCTTCAGCCTCCTAAGTAGCCGGGATTAGAGGCATGCTAGTTTTGTATTTTTACCACAGATGGGGTTTCACCATGTTGGCCAGGATGGTCTGGAACTCCTGACCTCAGATGATCCATCTGCCTCAGCTTCCTCAAGTACTGGGATTACAGATGTGAGCCACCTGTCAGTCAGAACAGTATTTTTTTCTTTTGTCTATCATTCATATATATTTGTGTTCCTTTCTATGTATGTCTTGTAATTTTGTTGTTGGAGATTAGACATTTTAGATAATATACTGCAGGAATTCTGGGTACTTGATCCTCCTCCCTTTAGGGCTTATTATTTGCTTGCTTGCTTATTTATGTGTTTATTTATTTTTGCCGCAGGGTCTTGCTATGTTGCCCAGGCTAGTCTCAAACCTCTAGGCTCAAGCGATCTGCCTGCCTCAACCTTCCGAGTAGCAAAGATTACAGTCACTGTGTCTGGATGGAATATAGCCTTTTGACCCCATGACATTACCCAAATTCCAATTTCTCTTTTAAGCCTTGGCTCAAATGCTATCTATACTCTGTTGCCTCCCCCAAGTCCCCCCAGTGACACACAGGGTCCTCCTCTCTACCTGATGTTATACTTTGTCAGAGAAACATCACAGCAGTGACATTCCACAACATTTGGTAGCAAACCCTTTGTCCAAATGTAGTCATATGCAGGACCGAAATACAAGAACTCTAATTTGGAGAATTTATAACATCTACTTTTCAAAATATAAATCAACGCTATCTGGTAAAAGAGGATATCTGGACCAAAAAAAAGATTTAAAATGTATGGCTAGAGAACAGTAGACATGTTCTTAGAATAGATATAATATCCAAATTAATGCACTCAGATTAGTGGCAGTAAATAATAAGAATTTTCCTCCCCCCAGACAGAGTCTTATTCTGTCACCCAGCCTGGAGTGCAGTGGTGCAACCTCAGTTCAAGGCAAGTACTGCTTCTGGGGTTCAAGCAATTCTCAAGTCTCAATCTCCTGGGTAGCTGCCCAGCTAATTTTTTTTTTTAAGGTGCGTGCCCAGCTAATTTTTGTTTTTGGAGACAGAGTTTTGCTCTATTGCCTAGGCTGGAGTGCAGTGTGCCATCTTGGCTCACTGCTTCTTGGGTTCAAGTAATTCTTCTGCCTTAGCCTTCTTAGTAGCTGGGATTACAGACATGCACTACCATACCTGGCTAATTTTTGTATTTTTAGTAGAGATGAGCTTTGCCACGTTGGCCAGGCTGGTCTCGAACTTCTGAACTCAAGAGATCAGCTGGCTTCCGCCTCCTGAAGTGCTGGGATTACAGGCATGAGCCACTGTACCTGGCCTAATTTTTTTTTTTTTTTTAAGGTAGAGACAGGTTTTCACTACGTTGGCTAGGCTGGTCTCAAACTCCGGGCCTCAAATGATCCACCCACCTTGGCCTCCCAAGGTGCTGAGATGAACTGCAGGCATGATCGACTGCGCCAGGCCAAAAATTACTTTTTTTTTTGCGATTTGTCTCACAATCTCAAGATTTGCTCTAATTTGGAAGAAAAGTTTTACCCTATGCTTGCAAAATGCTAAATTAGTTAAATTTAACACAAAGTTGGTGTGAGTGAATGTTTAATGATGCAAAGCATGAGAGACCAGGTAAAGTTACTGGCTCAAAATTATGAATCCTGGCTTCCTTCAGCCATAATTCGACTGAGGCAACTATAGGAAAACTGAAAGAGCTATTCAGGGTTTAAGGAGAGTGGGGAATGGCTTCTCACAGTCCTTAGTTCTGAGTCTGAGGGAATAGAACTGCTGACAGCAGGGACCATGAGTCTAAAAGGACCTTTGTGTCAAGTAACATACAGAGATTGCTCTGTCTCACCACTTCCTCTCTGTCCCCAAGGGACTTCTGAAGGGGTTTTCAATGAGGTTGCCTGAAAGAAAGATATTTCCCATGCATATCACATCCGGGAGGAGGTTCATATCACTCCTAAATGCCAGGAAGGCAAATCTTAGCTGTCGTGTTACACAGTCTGCAGTAGCAAGATGCAATAGTTTCTGTATGTAAGCTGACACTGAAACTAGAGCCACTTCTGGGTAAACAATGCAGTAATGCAAAAACCAAACAAATGCTCACATTTCTGAGCCCAAAAGGACTATTAAAATCTTAGAGAAATTTATCCCTAAAAGATAATTTTAAAAGCAAGTAACCCATTATTGCAAGTTTATTTTTTTCTTAAAGAGACAGAGTCTTGCTCTGTGGCCCAGGGTCTCTCTGGGTCTCTATTTCCTGATCTGTCAAAATGAAGATAATAAAGGGACTGGCCCACATTCCTTGATCCTCATTTCCAAAATCTAAAAAGTGCTGAAAATGTTAACTGTGGTTTTGTGTGTTTGTGTGTGTGTGTGAGACAGAGTCTCTCTCTGTCGTCGCCCAGGCTGCAGTGCAGTGGTGCAATCTCAGCACACTGCAACCTTCGCCTCCTGTGTTTAAGAAATTCTCTACCTCAGCCTCTGAAGTACATGATATTACAGACATGTGCCACCATACTCGGCTAATTTTTGTATTTTTAGTAGAGATGGGGTCTCACCATCTTTACCAGGCTGGTCTTGAACTCCTGATCTCGTGAGCCACCCGCCTCGGCCTCCCAAAGTGGTGGAATTAAAGAATGTACTTTTTCATGTTTGAAAGAAACTAATGTGGTAGTAAAACCTGAATAGATGAGGCATTTTATCATCTTTATTTAACTGTTAATGTGATTATTTCCATTTTGCTACAGAAACCCTAGTGATTTTAACTCTGGGATGCTATTAGAGTCTTAAATAATGTATAATGTTCAGAATATTACACTAACATTTTAGTATTTTAAAAATACTGAATTCTGAAACACACCTGGCCCTTAAGGGTTTCGGATGCAGGATTTTGGATCCGTCACAGTACAGTAGCACAATCATAGCTTACTGTAATCTAGAACTCCTGGACTCAATCCTCTTGTCTTAGCCTCCCAAGTATCTGGGACTACATGTGTGAGCCACAATGCTTGGCTAATTTTTATTTTTTTGTAGAGACAGGGTATTGCTATGTTGCCCATGATGGTCTTGAACTCCTGGGCTCAGTGATCCTCCTGCCTTGGCCTCCCAAAGCGCTCAGATTACAGGCATGAGCCACCACATCCAGCTATATTGTTGCATGTTTTTTTTTGTTTTGTTTTGTTTTTTGAGATGGCATCTTGCTCTTGTTGCCCAGGCTGGAGTGCAGTGGCATACTCTCGGCTCACTTCGACCTCTGCCTCCTGGGTTCAAGCGATTCTCCTCCCTCAGTCTCCCAAATAGCTGGGATTACAGGCACACATCACCATCCCCAGCTACTTTTTGTGTTTTTAGTAGAGACAGAGTTTCACCATGTTGGCCAGGCTAGTCTTGAACTCCTGACCTCAGGTGATCTGCCTGCCTCAACCTCCCAAAGTGCTGGGATTACAGGTGTGAGCCACTGTGGCGGGGCCTATTGCAAGTTTTAAGGAGCAGCTGTAAAACTAACTCTACTTCCTTGAAAGATACCATTTTGCAATAATTTGCAATATAGTAGACTCTAAAAGGGTTTAAAAAGTTGAAGAAGTCTTTCTGAAGCACAATTACCAGAAATCTTTCCTCTTTTTCCAGCCAGCGCTGATCTTCTTCCATTTCCTGTTGCTGTCGGATTAGCCGTTCTTCCATCAGGTGGGTTGGCAACACTTGCCCAATCCCTCGCAGGTCCAATGCTGTAGAGTCCTGGAAGAAGGGTGGAAAACAGCATGTCCAGTCTCCTAAGTCTGTTCCTATGCTCCTACACTGTTTTATGTATCTTTCAAGAAAAGATAAGCAAAACAGCAAATGTGGTGGAAATAGGATCTCTCACACTGTGTTTGTTGGGGTAACTTTTCTGGAGGGTGCAATTTAATGTGCGTCAAGCATCTTTAAAAAGTATACAATCCTTTAGCGCACAGATTCACTTGTAGGGGTCTATTTTAAAGAAATAGCACAAGATATGTGCAAAGAATACGTTACTTATAGTAAAAAAGTAGAAACAATCCAGAAGTAATAGAAGGCTGAAATATGATACATATTATAGAGTATCTCTATAATGGAGCGATCTCGGCTTACCGCAACCTCCGACTCCTGGGTTCGGGCAATTCTCCTGCCTCAGCTTCCTGAGTAGCTGATATTATAGGCACACGCCACCATGCCCAGCTAATTTTTTGTGTGTTTTTAGTAGAGACGGGGTTTCACCATGTTGACCAGGATGGTCTCCATCTCTTGACCTCGTGATCCACCCGTCTTGGCCTCCCAAAGGAGTATCAAATATTAAATAAAATAACATGAATCAGCAGACAACTATAGATACTCTTTGTTTCAAATAAGTAATTTTTTTTCTTTTTAATGAGATGGGGGTCTTGCTATGTTGCCCAGGCTGGCCTCAAACTCCTGGGCTCAAGTTAGCCTCCTATCTCAGACTCCTGAGTAGATGGAACTATGGACATATGTTACCGTACCCAGTTCAAATTTTTAAAATATAGTCGTAGTTCTTGTTTTTATCAGGAAAAGTTAGTAAAAATTAACATGGTCCAAAGAACTGAATGCTCTGTCTTCCTTTTTCTTTACTGGCCTCATGTGTATGCTGATTATATTCAACTTAGGGATCTGTCTTTCAAATAAACAGACTAATGATTTTAGCATTTCTCCCTGGGTATTTCTTTTAGTTAATAAAAAGCTCATGAAACCAGAAACCATTTGAGTAGATGGGGTATCCTGATCTTTGAATTAAGTCAATAAAATTGGGCTGGGTGTCATGGCTCACACCTGCAATCCCAGCACTTTGGGAGGCTGAGGCGGGCAGATCACTTGAGGTCAGGAGTTCAAGATCAGCCTGGCCAACACGGTGAAACCCTATCTCTACCTAAAAACACACAAATTAGCTGGGCGTGGTGACTCCTGACTGTAATCCCAGCTGCTTGGCAGGCTGAGGTAGGAGAATTGCTTGAACCTGGGAGGTGGAGGTTGCAGTGAGCTGAGATCGTGTCATTGTACTCCAGCCTGGGCAACACAGTAAGACCCCGTCTCAAAAAAAAAAGAAAGTCATTAAAATCAATAAATCTTAGGATTTAGAAATAAAAGGTGCCCTTTTGTTTTTGAGACAGGCTCTTCCTCTGTTCCCCAGGTTGGAGCACAGTGGCAAGATTGTGGCAAGATCATGGCTCACTGCAGCCTCAACCTCCTAAGCTCAAAAGATCCTCTTACCCCAGCCTCCTGAGTTCTAGGACTACAGGCATATACCACCATACATGGCTAATTTTCTATTTTTTTGTAAAGACAGGGTCTCACTATGTTGCCCAGGCTGGTCTCAAACTCTTGGGCTCAAGCAATCCTCCTACCTCAGCCTCCTAAAGTGCTGGGATTACAGGTGTAAGTCACTATGCCCAGTTTTGCCATGTTTTATAAGTTAACAAACTGAAGCCCAAGACACCTGATTTACCTCCACATTGGGCTGCCACATTGATATCTCCTGAGGTCTATGATTCCATGAATCTGCTTGGTCCAAAAGAGATGCCTGACCTGGATAGATGCTGCCAGCCATAGCTGTGATTCCATGTGAACCAGGGTAGCCTGAGACCTGTGAACGAGTTAGGAGGCAAGATAATGTTCGACTATAACATCTGCACAGTTCTGCTTCACACACAAAGGAAACTAAGATTACAGAGAATACTGTGGCAGGCAGAATTACAGCCTCCCACAAAGATACCCATGTTCTAAGCCCTTGAACATGTGAGTATGTTTCCTCACATGGCAAAAGAGACTTTGCAGATGTGGCAAGGATCTTGGGATGGGAGGGTATCCGGGATATCTGAGTGAGTTCAATGTTATTACAAGGCTCCTTAAAAGTGTAAGAGGAGAGAGGGACATGGGATCACTGAAGAATGGTCAGAGACAGTTAATTCTGCTGGCTCTGAACGTGGAGCAAGGGGACAATGAAACAAGGCAAGCCGGTGGCCTACAGAAGCTGATAAGGCAAGGAAATGGACTCTCAGCTAAAGTCTCAAGAAAAAAGATTTGTTATGGTTGAATTAGAGAGCTAATCCAAATATATACTAGACAATAAGAAATTGTTTCTTTGGACTTTCACACTTACTGAAATAATGAGGGGAGATCATTTCTGGATGCAAAAGCAAGCCACAAAAATGGCTGTGCCATACTCTCCTATAGAAATCCCCTTTCCTGCCCAACCAACAAGTACCCCCCAACATGAATAACAAACAACAACAAAAAACACACACCAAAAACCCCCAAATGTTTGTTCTCTAATGAACTACGAGCTGATGGTAGGATAAGTTGTACCTTTTAAGTACTAAGTTCTAACGATGAAGGCTAAGGCAGAGAGAAGACATTCAGTTGGACACAGAAAAATTTCAAGGCAGAGGGAAAATAAGAGGGGTTTCTTTACATGGTTCCCTCTCTCAATCAAGAGAAAGATAGAGAACAGACTTGGCACTGGTTTCCACACCTCATTAGGCTAGTGTTACATGGTTGGAGGTTGTCAGTTAATTTTTTAGTGAGATAAAGCACAGCCAAAACTCTATTTCCAAATATCAACACATCCTTCAACAAAGGTTTTGTGCATTTATTAGGTCTCTATGCATTAATTTATTCCAAAATTCCATATGTACAATATGAAATTAAAGAATTTTCAAGTAAGGTATACAGTTAGTTCTTATAGTTTGAATGAAAATATCTTAGTAATAAAAACTGCTACTAAATGCAAAATGCTAAATCATGATTTTTGGTGAAAAGGGACATATTATTGCTAGAAAATAGGAATTTTCACAAGAAGGAGCTTTAACATGGTCTAAGGCAGTTTTCTACATAATACTAACCATGTAGAAGGATCGCTTTAGGTTAAAAATGAAGTAACATGGCTGGTCTCATTTACAAGACATGAAAATTTGGGCTCGGGAATGGTTAATCATACATGAGTTCAATGAAAAAAATATCTTTTACTTAATTCTCTATTCACTCATTTCTACACCATTAAGTCCTAAGTTCTTAAAGTACTGTCCTAAGCACTTAAAGCAGAGACAAGTCCCCACTCTCAGGGGCTTCCACTGCCTTGGTGACAGCCAGCCAGTAACAAACACATATTAGAGTTTCAAATCTTGACAGTACCATAGACCAGGCCTGCAAGGACACAAAGAAAACTGTCTGTCTGCTAACAGTCTGTCGCATTAAGCAGGTGCTGTCATGTTTTCTCTCAACAATGCTGGTATTCAATTCCCACTCAAGGCCAATTCACTTTCCATACCAGCCAGGCACAGGCTCAGGGGCTGTTCCCCTGGGGCCCATCTGCTTGTTTGCCAGAGCTCAGGGTCTCACAGAGATGGGTTTTCTTTCTTTAAGCCACTACACACCTCCCATTGCTCTGACCCTTGTGCTGGGCCAGGGTTCTTGTTTCTTCACTTATAGAATTGGTAGTAATCAAAACTGACACAGGGTCCTGTGAGCCCCTACCATGAGAAAAGAGAGTACCTTACTTGTCTTCATATTCTCAGTACATAGAATAGTAATAGGCAGAAAGTAGATGAACATTCAGTGCCACCTTGCTGAATGAACGGACAGGTGCCCTAGAAAACTCAAATAATTCACTCCTCTGCCAGGCAAGTGGCCATCTCAGAACAGTGTCTCCCAAAACAAGTCTGAGTTATCTGCCTCAGAACCCACTGAGGTTGCTTGTTAACAATAAGCTATTCTTGGGCTCCACTTCAGAATTAATATATTAGAATCTGAGGCTAAAGAGACTAAAATTTGCTGTTCTAAACTACTGCTGACATATCATCTTTTCTAACAAGAAAGTGCTTACATTCTCCCTTGTTACTGACAGTTAAGTATCAATAGTTAAGATTTTTTGCCTATCTTGACCCAAGAGGTATTAATTTAAACCATGCTCTCAACAACTCTGTGAAGCAGATAGGAAAGGCAAATACTGACACCCTCCTTAGGACCCTGATTCCTACAGACATTACGATGAGTAAAAAAAAGCTAAGCCCCAAAAACACCCTGCATATGATCTATTTATATAAATTCTAGAACAGGCAGTATCTCTGATACTAGAAGTGAGAAGTGCAGTTGCTCCTGGGGCAGGAGGTGCCTGATGGGAAGGGGCACAAAGGAACAGACAGAGCCAGAGATACTCTGCATTCTGAAGTGGGGATGGGATGCACTGGGGTATGTATCTGTTGGAACAAAGACCCGTGCATTGTAAGGTAAACCGCAATGAAAGTTAATTATCCTTTTCTCAAAAACAAATGATTTGTTTACTTTGTGTCAAGTCCTTTTTTTTCAAGGATAACTTTTTTCTAATTTGTACAGGATATTTGTCTATAAATCTAACACTTTTCACACTTGTCTGTATAGTATTTCATCTGGTTTCTGTAAATTTTGAATTTTATTCTTGCCTTCCAGAAGAACTGTCCAGGTTCAGTATTACCTCTAAAGAGTATGTGCCCACTGGCTTCACCTTGTCCTTTGCCATAGCAAGTGGATGAAAAGGCACCTAAGAACAGTAGCAGGGCCTGGTCCTGCCCACTTGAAGACAGAGTAAAAACAAATGCCTTCTGCATAGGACGTCAAGATAACATTCACTCAGTGATTATGGTAACCACTTTCTCAGCTTTCTATCAGCCAAATCATACTCATAAGTACACAAATAAGAATATGCACAATGTACCTCTCTAGCCCAAAAGTGCTAACTAATCAAATAACACTTTTTTTCTCCGTAACGACTGGCATACCTGGTAATGATTGGTTTGCACCACGTGCTGTGGGCTGGGATAAAATCCTTCGCTGGATCTCGGACTAGGATAACCTGGTCTGCTGGGCTGTAAAATCAATAGAGCATCATATGAATGAAACTTTGATTTTGGCAAACCTGTGCTTTATGAATAGAAAGATATTTTTCTAATAGCGCTTAGTTGAAAAGAATGATTAAAAGGTGCTAAGACATTTCAATGGGGAAAGAACAGCTTTTTCAACAAACGATGCTGGAGCAACTGGATAGCTACATGTGAAAAACTGGTTTGACCTCCTCCTCCCAACACACACAAAAATTAACTCAAAATGGATTACGGATCTAAATGAAAAGTTAAAAACTCTACAATTCTTAGAAGAAAACACAAGAGTAAATCTTGGGCAAGGTATGGAAGCTCATGCCTGTAATCCCAGCACTTTAGAAGGCCGAGGCAGGCGGACCACTTGAGGTCAGGAGTTCAAAATCAATCAGGCCAATCTGTTGGGAATATAAAATGGTGCAGTTACTATGGAGGACAGTATGGCTATTCCTTAAAAATTAAACATAGAACTAGTATATGATCCAGCAATTCTACTTTCAGGTATATATAACAGAGAAATAAAAATCTATATCCACACAAAAACATGTATACCAGCTCCTCAGGAGGCCAAAGTGGGAGGGGTCACTTGAGCCCAGGAATTAGAGGTCAGCCTGGGCAATACAGTGAGACTGTGTCTTAAAAAAAAAAAATTAAACACAAACATGTACATGAATGTTCTTAACAGCATTATTCACAATAGATAACAAGGGGGAATAGTCCACATCCATCAACTGATAAATGAATAAACAAAATGTTGTGAATCTATGAAAGGAATATAATTTGTACTTAAAGGGAATGAAGTACTGGCACATACTACAACATGCATGAACTTTCAAAACATTCTAAGTGAAAAAAGCCAGTCACAAAGCACAACAGATGATTTCATTAATGAAATATCTAGAATAGGAAAGATATTAATCACATAGACAAGGACATAAGCAAGTACATAAGTGGTTGCCAGGGGTTGGAAGGAGGAGGAAATAGGGGAAGACTGCTAATGGGTACAGGGTTTCATTTTGGGGGTGATAAATATGTGCTAGGCTGGGCACTATGGCTCACACCTGTAATCCTAGCACTTTGGGAGGCCGAGGTGGGTGGGTCACTTGAGCCCAGGAGTTTGAGACCGGCCTGAACAGTGAGACATCATCTCAACTAAAAACAAAAATCCTAAAATTGACTGTGGTGATGGCTGCACAACTCTGAATATACTAAAAAACATTAAAATTGTACAATTTATTTATTTGAGATAGTGTCTTCCTCTGTTGCATAGGCTGGAGTGCGGTGTACAATCCTGGCTTACTGCAACCACTGCCTCCTAGGTTTGAGCGACTTGTGCCTCAGCCTCTCAAGTAGCTGGGATTACAGGCATTCATCCCATCGCCAGAATAATTTTTGTATTTACAGTAGAGACAGGCTTTTGCCACGTTGGCCAGGCTGGTCTCGAACTCCTGGCCCTAAATGACCCGCCTGCCAAGACCTCTCAAAGTGTTGGGATTATATGCACCCAGCCGAACTGCACACTTTCAATGGATAAACTGTATGGAATGTAAATTGTATCAAAATAAAGCTATTGAAGTATCATTAATAACAAAATGGGATACTGAATATTCTGAGCCTGAGGGACCCAAATGCTGTCTGCGACCTGGAGAGAATGCATTTGTGTTCTATTGTTTGACTAATTCCTGGTTGTGTGACTGTGGTCAAGTGACGAAACTGACTGGCTTCTACTTCCTCATGCAAAGATGCGGGGTGAGCTAGAGAATCTCTAAAGTCACTTCCAGGTCTTAAATTCTCATTTTGTTTGTGGGCCAAAATGAATTCCAAGTTCACAGTGAAAGAACAATTTAGTCTGAAACGGCAGGCTGAAAGAAGTCAATAAAGTCTTCTAAAACTTGGGGGATTTAATGAGGTGGAAGCCGTTATTTTCTAGCTAAATTAAGTCCAGAATTAAAGGAAATGGAGGAAATGGATTTAAGTCCTAACAAGCTTAGGAAAGAAAACGGCTTAGTGCCTGTGTCTCTCTCCCACAGTGCTGGGTGAACACGCTTTGCTCTAGTTAGGTCCAGAGCATGTTTTGGTCTCTAAACTCAGTCTCATTTTCCCCACAGCTTTGCTTATGCAGTCCCCCTGCCTGGAATGTCTCCTCCATTCATCTGTAGAACACTTCTGATCCTTTCAGTCAATGAGATGTTAGCAGCTCCTGATTTTGCCAGTGTAACATAAACATATGTCCTCTGCTCTCCTAAGGAGGCCTTTTTCAAACCCAACCTTGGGTTGGAGGTACTTTTGCACTTGCTCTAGCCCTGCTATTGTAAGCCATTAAATTCCTGAGGGTGAAAAACCCTTCCTTTTTGCTTAGCCCTGTCACGTTTCAAACAGTGTTCTGGATAGTCTACTCTAAGCGTAACTAAATAAGAACATGAATTCCCCTGAAGACACCACAAACAGGAAAAGGGTAAAAATGGAACATTCTAGGTTTTTCTCTACTCTGTGCTAGGGTGGCAATTTCCAAAGTGTGTTCTACAAAGTGGTTGTGCTAAATTAAAAGAGGTTAAAAAAATAAAAGTCTGGCTACCTTTGTACTTGTTTTAAAGATATGTGTTAGTATGTAAGCATTAATAATGGTTTCAGGGAAAATGGTTTCCTGAATCAAATGTTCTTGGAGTCCAAGAATGGAAGGAGGCAGAGCCAGGAACTGGAACAATAAACAGAGCTGACAGTTGCGCAGTGACGCACTCCTGATAAATTCAGGAAAAAAAAAGTTGTAATGTACTCTGTATTCTGTCTGTACTAAACTATGTACTTTACATACAATTTGATAATTTTGATCACCAAATTGCTATGAAACAATATTATAATCCCTATTTTATAGAGTCTCAGATACATTGGGCAATCTAAATAGGGGCATATGGGTGGTAATGGTAGAACTGCCTGACTCCAAAATCTGCCGTGCCAAGATGCTATTCTATGACAAGCGTACTTCTGACTCAGCAAATAAAAAGGAATATACAAAACAAATGGATCAGAGAATGACAAAAGCAATGTAAAACATCTCACAGTGATGCAAAGTCTTAACTCGGTAGCAAATAACACAAGGTTCCATTTCAAAATAAAAATAACAGGTAAAAAGTTGAAAATATGTCTCACGATAGACAAAATATTTGCACAAAGGACACCACAAAATCAAATGTTGCTAACCAACAGCCATGGAGAGTGCAAATGTATTGGTAAAACAGCTCTGCTTCTGTTCTCTACAAATTGGAAGTTAGCATGGTGGTTAAGAGAATGCCAGTGTTCACAGTTAGGGTGTTTCAGCTCTCTGTGCCTCCCTACTGTCAATAACAAAAGGAGTACAATAACCAGCAGCTACCTCCTGGAGCTGCCATAAAGGTTAAATAGATTAACATACATCAAGATCTTTGAAAATGGCTTTCATACAAGTCCAAAAGTGTCACCTGCTGGTAAGTACTATAAGTTAGCAGAGTAATGACACCTCCTCCTCTAAGACAGAAACTTGGATTTTAATAAAGCAAAATAATGGCACAGGGAATTTTTGCTGAAATTCTCCCAAGTGAGGAAGGAGAGAAAGGAAGGCACTGGTATTCTAAACTAGAGGTCCTCAACTGGATGGCACTGTTCCTTCAGAAGCATTTAGAGTACAGTCAGCCCTCCCTATCCACAGGCCCAGCATCCATGGATTCAAACAACTGCAGATTGAAAATATACAGGAAAAAAAAAAAAAAAAACAACCAAAACCAATAATACAAACAAAAAGATAAGTGTAACTATGCAAGCTGGGTGCAGTGGCTCATGTCTGTAATCTCAGCACTTTGGGAGGCTGAGGGGGGTAGATCGCTTTGAGCTCATAAGTTTGAGACCAGCCTGGGCAACATGGTAAAACCCCATCTTTACAAAAAATGTAAAAATTAGCTGGGGAATGGTGGCTCACACCTGTAGTCTTATCTACTTGGGAGGCAGAGGCTAAAGAATCACTTAAGCCCAGAAAGTGGAGGTTGCAGTGGCCTGAGATTGCACCACTGCACTCCAGCCTGGGTGACGGAGTGAGACCATGTCTCCAAAGATAGATAACTAAATAAATACACACACACACACACACACACACACACACACACACACGTATATATATATATTATATAAAATATTTATATACTATATATGTATGTATTACATATGTGTGTATATATTATATATGTGTGTCTACTTATATATATGAAACAATGTAGCATTTACATTGTATTAGTTAGTACAAGTAATCTCAAGTACACTGGAAGATGGGCTGGGCATGATGGTTCAAGCCTGTAATCCCAGAACTTTATGATGCCAAAGTGGGTGGATCAACTGAGGTCAGGAGTTTGAGACCAGCCTGACCAACATGATGAAACCCCATCTTTACTAAAAATACAAAACAATTAGCCAGGCATGGTGGCAAACGCCTATAATCCCAGCTACCAGGAGACTGAGACGTGAGAATTGCTTGAACCCGGGAGGTGGAGGTTGCAGTGAGCCGAGATTGCGCAACAGCCCTTCAGCCTGGGCAACAAAGGGAGACCCCATTTCAAAAACAGAATATGCCAACAACAACAAAAAACTAAAGTATATTGGAAGATGTATGTAGGTTATATGCAATACTGGGCTATTTTATATAAGGAGTTTATGCATCTGTGGATTTTGATCTCCATCCCTTGCAGATATTAAAGGACAACTGTATTAGTGAGGGTGCCTTCCATGATTGCACAACTGGTATTAAGGTAGATGTCAGCAGGTGAGATTTCTGGCAATGAGGGGACAGGCCTGAACAACAGGATTTGTTTCATATCCCGCAGGACTTTTTTTTTTTGTTTTGAAACAGTCATACTGTCGCCTAGGCTGGTGTGCAATGGCACAATCTCAGCTCACTGCAACCTCTGCCTCCCAAGTTTGAGTGATTCTTGTGCCTCAGCCTCCCAGGTAGCTGGGATTATAGGCATGTG